AAGATACTTTAGCAAATGCATTTTTAGAATAGATTTTTTTTATAGAGGTTTAGCATTAATTTAATAGATTACTAAATGTATGCAAGTGTAAGCTTTTTTTTAATAAAGGTTATATTTATTCAAATAAAATTTTTTTTTAATATTTTAACATTTATTATGCTTATTACCATTAATCTTTATTTTTTTTCATCGCATTAATCTTTATTTTTTTTTTTATCGCATTAATCTTTATTTTTTTTTATCGCATTAATCTTTATTTATGCTCATTGAATTAATCTTTAATTATTTTTATCACATTAATCTTTATGTGATTTTTAAAATATAATTAAAAATATTAATCGAAAAAAAATCAATTTTATTGAATAAATTATATGCTTTTACATATATTTAAATTACAAACTATATTTCATATCCATAATGCTATTTTATATTCATCAAATTTGATATCTAATTCTCAAAATTTACATCAATTCTTCACAAATTTTAACATCTATTTACAAATTTCTACTATGCATTTAGAACTGACATATTAGTTGTCTTATCCCTACTTTTTGATATAAATAAATGCATGGTCAATTTTATCATTATTCAGGTATATTAATTGCGAAGATACTAATTTTGACACTGTTGATTCTTACCTTTTTAAATCTCAACACTGATTTATTTCTCAATATACAGGTTTTGCTGAAATGTTGAAGTCCCTTTTCACATTTCTATCCTCAATGTGTCAAGATCTTAGGCTAATATGCTAAAATTAAATATAATTTAAAAAAATAAAAAAAATATTAATAAGCTAGTTGAAATAAGCTAATAACGTAGGTGGTGAATAAATAATTCAAATAGCAAAGTGGTTAACAATAAAATAAAAAAATACTTCCTCATTATAGCTACTGTGTCCTGTAAAAAATCGAACTGATTTTAAGTGTTTTGTTTAAATCCAAGTGTTGGCAGACTTCTATTGTATTTCAGTAGATTCGTTTGTTATAAGAATTGAAGTAAACCATTTCTCATCTAACTTCTAAATTACTTTCCAGATTACCGAATTACAGTCAGACCCCCCTAAATGCTACCCCCCTAAATGCAACACCTCTTTAAATACACATCTTCTTTTGGGCCTAACTAATATTATATCTATAGATTTTTACCTCCCTAAATGCAATACCTTTCTAAATGCACGTGCTAGAGCTGGTCTCGACGATATGCATTTAGAGAGGTCTGACTATACTTTGACAGTTTATAAAACAGGTTATAAACTTTCTAATTTTTTTTATCTTACTCTTGCAGAATTCGTATTCATAGTACTGAATTCATTCTTGTGACTGCAAATCATTTCTTTAATAAGACTTTCTTATGACGAGATGATCTACAAAATCAGCCAATCATAATAAAGCCCGCTATGCTTAGTATAGATGTAGTAGCTAAATTAATATTAAAAAATTAGCTTAGCTAGTTTACTGTAGTTAATTTAGTAATAAATATTATAAATAATTAAAAAAATCCATAACTCTCATTAAATAAGAATTATTACTTGAAGTTACTTATTTAATTTAAAAATTAAAAAACTTAAATTAAAATCTTTTTCAAACTATTAATATTTAGCTTTAAACCAAGAATTATAAAATGCTAAAGTACAGTCTAACCTCGTTATAGTCACTTTTGATATAGTTACAACCTTGATATAATCACACTATTTTTTAGCTTAAGCTAATATAAGACATACAAAATTTGACCTTTATATAGTCACAACTTTTATAATCACTATATTCTTGTTTCCCAAGCTGGTGATTATATCGAGGTTAGACTGTATATAAAATTTATATTTAATATATTTTATATGTATAATTTTTTTAGTTAGTGTTTTTTCTTTTTTTTTTTTTTACCAAATTTTATATATAAATTGAAGTTATTTATTTAATTTATATTTAAACTTCTATAAAAAACATGTTCTGTAACTGATAAAATTTTTAAATTTCTAAATATATATTTTTACTTAAAGCACCCAATTTTGATTACCGGTACTTAGTTTTCGACAAAATGTAGTAGCAACACTAGTTATAATCACCAGTAATAATAAATAGCAAAATTTTAATTAAACAGTCCTGTCAATTATATATAAAATTACAAAAGCTTTAACAGATTTGTACGTATAATAAAAGACGGTAATTTTGAACAATTAAGGTTGAACAAACCAGAATTTGGTACAAAGAAGCTTATTTACCGGATTAATTTTCGAAAAATTCGTCAGATTTTTTGTAAGACGTATCATGTACTAATTTGTTAAAATTATGATCTGATTGGTTAAATATGCGTGGATCTTTGTAGACAATCACATGCACTAGCTTAAGTTAATCCAGAGTCAATCATATTTGCATATTAATCTAAAAGAGAACCTATCCTATGATCACTAATGGCTTGCGTTATGGTCACATGTAACTCTCAGTACAACCATATTTTTTACGTTAATGATGTAAATAATGCACAAATAACTATATATATCGAAATATACAGGGTGTCTCAAAAATACATGGTCCCCTTTTTTTTTTTGTGCCGAAGTGCTGCATAAATAATCATTATGATCAAGGTCACTTTAAAAAAAGGAACCGTGTATAGGAACTTTTGGGACTCCCATATATACCTTAAAAATACCATTGAGATCGATCAATGAAAAATGAAAGATTACTATATAATATGAAAGATAACGCATCTATTATAATTATAAAGTTGTTGAAATCATATTTGTGAATAGTCTGCTCGAAAATAGACTTTTTAGTAATCTGAGATTTTATAACGACTTGTATAACGATATATAGTAGGTAATAAAAAAAGTAGTTTAATGCGCAGAATCTTAGCTATCCTAGTGTTACAAAGAGAGATATATATGTATATATTTAAAAAAAAAAAAACTATTTAAACAAACGGTTTTTCTTCTCCGCTATTATTTTTCAGCCTCAAAAATTTTAAATACTTTCCAGAGTTGAAACACACTTATCTCTGCTTTAAGCTTTACATATTTCGAAATATACGATATGGAAAAATTTAAAGAGGTGGGTTAGAAATGTACCATATTTTATATGTTGCACGTTTTTAATAGGCAGGAGTCTGCATAGAGTTAGTCAAGAATATTCGTTTGGCTTTATTATTTTATGAAAAATACTCGGGCTTATGTAAAGCTTTACTATCTTCCTATGTAATGTTAAAACAGTATAATAATAATAATAATGAGTAATAAGTAGAGGTTGGGGCAACCACCCTGCGACTTTTTTAGTACTTTATCGACTGAGGGTACTGTACTATAGTATAGTATATAGTGAATATATTCGCGTGTCCAAAATTGAAAATGAATCATTATGATAAAATCATATTCATTTTAATTATTTTTTTTAATAATAGAGAGTCAATGCCCTCAAAACTGAACTCGAAGCAGCAAATATTCGTGCTCATGCAGCAGAACAGGAGCTTAAAAAATTTCATGAAGAACAATCCTCTAAAGAAATTGAATTTTCTAATCTTCAAAAAAAATGCGGATCATACGAAAGTGATTTAGATGAGACCGAAAAGAACTTGAAGGAAACTACGGAGAAGTAAGTTAATGATTTATACATAATCAGGAGTCTTGGATTAAAATTTGGGAACTTTTCAGCCAGAGATCATAAAAATTTACGATGATCTATCGGAATATTAAATCTATCTTTATTATTCATGAAAAATTTAGGCTTCGTGAGTCTGAACTTAAATGCGAAACTCTTGAACGTAAAGTCGCACAGCTTGAAAATGAAGTGGCAGAGAAAGAAAAGAAAATTGAAGAATTAATCGAGGAATGCAACAAACTTAAGGCAGAATATGAAAGTGTTATTAGTTCTATCAGTGAATTGTAAAATATCTTTTGTATATTAATGTTTAGGCTAAAATCCTATTTCCAATTCGGTTTATGAGTAAAGATTTCAAATGGCATAACAAAGGTTTGTTTATATATATATATATATATATATTAAGGGAGATTATTTTGTTTTACCAAATTCACAAACTTCACGCATTTTATTTATCGTATTATTAATACAAATGGGTTTAAATCATTGACTTTTTGATGATTAGATCATGTATCTATTTTTTTTCATTGCGAACTTAATAAACCATTAACCCATATTTATTAAAAAGATAATTTCGAATGAGACCAATATTAAATGATTATAACGAAATTTTAAAAATTTATATTGAATGTAAAAAATTCATTAACTTTATTGGTTCTATTGTGGAAAAGTAATTTATTCTGTGTTTACAGGTTTATGCAATTGCAAGTTTGCATAGTTACGTATAATATACATGCTTTGCATATACGTTAAAAAAAAAGATAATCGATGTAAAACCATCACGTGACATATACGCGAGTGATCATATTTATCAGTCAATCTCGTAAAAATCTAACGTTAACTCGAAAATGTTTTCACACAAGTTTCTAAACGTTATAAATGTTATTCCTCGTAGACGATCTTTTCAAATTTTTGCTTTTTCTACTTTTTCTCAACAACGAATATCAAATAATTACACTTCTTCTGTTTCTCCTTTTGAAAGAAGTGGTAGAAATCGTATTGGTTCAAAAACCACCACAAATGATAAAGAAGGAATTGATTCTTTTCTTTTAAATTTTGCAAATAAACAAAAAGATAATGGATTAACGAACGTAAAAGAATCTAATGATACTGATTCAAGTTCTTCATCTCCTAATTTTTTACTATCAAATTTTACATCTAAAAAATCTGATACTACTCAAAGAACTTCTGGTTCTGATATAGCAAAACTTCTATCCGACTTTTTGGTACCATCAGAAGAACTTTATCGAATTCATATTCGTGCTTCTTACAATAATACTATAGTATCATTAACAAATTCTCGTAAAGACGTATTAATTAATTCTTCTGGTGGACTTGTTGGTTTTAAAAAAGCTCAGCGGGGTGGTTATGAGGCTGCTCATCAAGCTGCCATTGCTTTAGTTGAAAAAGTTAAAGAAAAGGGAATTAAAATTAAGAATGTGGAGGTTTTAATAAAAGGTTTTGGTCCTGGAAGGGATGCTGCTTTTAAAGCTATCGCGTCACCAGAGAATCCTTGGACTATTAAGAGAATTACCGATTCTACTCCATTGCCATTTGGTGGGTGTAGGCCAAGGAAGGCTAGAAGATTGTAAATATATGACTAGAACTTTTTACTTTATTTTAGCAATTTATTCATATTGCAAAAAAAAAAAAAAAAAAGATATGATATATGATAAACTAAATTATATGTTAATGACATTTATAAGATTTATTACAAATTAGTTTTTTCATATAATGTGCCTCATCAGGTAGCCTTATCTTTCTCGTTCGTTTGTCGATAATGAATATCTGCTTTATGTAAAATTTCCTCGTTTTCTGCTTCTGTTTTTAATGGCGATCCGTATCCCATATCATTTAAAAGTTTCTATAATGACCATCGACAATAATGTTCATTAGAATATATAAATTAAATGTTGAAATTTCTTGATTAATTTATTGGATGCGAACCTTTTGTTGATCCATACAACTCCAAAATTTATCTCTCATATTAGTACAAAGAGTAAGTCTATCCCAAAGTTTTCCTTTTTTAAAACAATCCTGTAATTCTGTATGAACTTCTGAACAATTAATTAAAGTAGCATCATAAATTTCTTTTTTTCTATCCCAGAAATCTTGTCCTATTTCTTTAATCTTTTCTCGAGTTGCAAGACGTTGTTGTTTTAACTTTTCTTGTTCGGTTAATGAATTATCATTTGTTATAGAATTTGAATTAAAAATATCTGTAAGATGAATTGGTGGTTTAAAGAATTCGAAAAAAGATGTGAATTTGGATTTTTTTTGTGTAGGTTCGTCTGTAATTTTGTTAGAAAATGTTTGAGAATTGTTTTCAATTATTTTTGGATCATAAGTTGGTTGTGATGTTTCAAGAAAATTTCCTAAAAATTCATTTATGTTTTTTACGTTAATACGTTCTGATGATTTTTCATTGTCATGATTTTGTGAATTTGTTGACACCATTAAAAATTATCGTTATTCGATATCGATGTTCAAACTTAAACGCTTTTAAATATATACTTGATAACCAGGTCCAATAAAAATGCTTCTTTATCTTTTAGTCAATAGCAGTCAGGTGACATGTCACGCAGTGTATATAAAAATTATAATAAAAAGCATATACTGTAAATTTACTATGTATAACAGATACAGTAAGCTTGACATTATTTTCCACATTTTTAAAATTTTGAAAAAAAAGAATTTGCTAATTTTGTAATTGTGATTATGTGTATAATCTTACGTTGAACGTGTTTACTTAGAAGTTAGAGACAAGTTATCTTAGTAGAAAAAAAAGATTTACTGTATATACAGTAGATAAACTAAAGATTTTAATACAGTATTTTAATATGGTAAACTTTTTTTTTTTTTTTTACTAAGACAATCTATCTTCTAAGTAAACTTGTTTAGCATGAAATTGTATACCACAGTTCAAGAAAATTCATTTTTTTAGACTTTTTACTAAATGAAAATTTGAATTAAAGTTATATAAAAAAAAATTTTTAAAAATTTTTAAAAAAGTTTTTTTTTTATATATATAACTTTAATCCAATTTTTTACTTAGTAAAAGTTTGAGTAAATGAATTTTCTTGAAGTGTAGTATAAAATTTCATGCTAAACAGGTTTACTAGAAAGTAAAGGCAGATTATCTTAGTAAAAAAGTTTACTTTATAAAAATATTAAAATTTTTAGTTTATATACTACAATATATATATAACTTTTTTTATACTAATATAACCTTTCTTTAACTTCTAAGGAACATGTTCACAAAATTTTACACATACAGTAATTACAGTTTCAAAATTAGCAAATTCTTTTTTTTTTTTTTATAAAATTCTATTGGTAAAATCCACAATTTTTTATAAAATTTTAAAAAAATGTTCTATTTTTGATATGCTTAATCTCAAAATGTTTGTTATAATTTTTATTATCGTTGTATATTAATACTCATATCAAGGGGTGTCCTCTGACTAATAGAGTGTAATGCTAAATCAGCGAATAAATGCCTCCTTGATATTAAAGATTCGTGTAACAATCAATAATATTCTACAATTTATATAAACTATCAAATGAAATACTATTTGGTCTACCTTCGAACTAATTGACCACATATCAAATACAATATTTACAAAAAATTAAGTAGTTATAATGAGGTTCAAGAAATAATATACATAAAAATATTAGATGGTATGATGTGTGTATCACGTGATTACAATAACTCTTCAAAGATCTATTTGATTTTCTCTCAATTCATTCAAGTAGGAATCAAAAGCAGCGCGATCTATTGAAAGATTCCATTGAATAAAGCTCAAGAAAGCTCTTTCCTAAATTATAATAAATTGCAAAAAAAACATGAAAAATAGATCACACTAAACAAGACTTTCAAACGAGAACATGAAACATACCATTCTTATTATGTCTTTGATTGACCAAATATCTTTTCCAACAGATTCCAACATTTTTCTAGCAGTAATTGGTACA